CCAACCCTCCCCGGCGATGAGAGCCACCCGACCAAAGAAAGAGACCCCCGCCGGCCGCGGCTGCTTAGGAGAGGGGAAGCGGCCACCATATTCCTTTCAGCCCCGCAAGCAACTGGAGGCGGATCCGGGGCCCGCCCAGGAGGCGGTGGCGGCACCGGGGAAAGAGGCGAGGCGACCCGCCGCCGAAAGCGTTTCACTAGGCGGCGCTAAGCAGCGCGGAGAGGCCTTCCGTTGGGCCGGTGTGGCCTCGGGGCTCGGCCCAGGCCGAGGCCGAGGCGGAAACCTTTCTTTCTGAACCGCCTGGCGATGTTGCGCCTTCCGACGTTTAGGGGCTCCCGTGCAGTCTTAAGCGCGTTTACGGGAGAGGAGGAACTGAATTCAGTAGCTTCCGAGTAAGTTGAACAACCTGGGGCTAAACGGAGTTTTCCCTCTCCCTCAAAGATCACTCAGAACAGAATTTCTTAAAAGTGTGGTCCTAAGACCCCTGGGAGCCCTCCAAGACCCTCTCAGGGGTCCCCAAAATCAAAATCATTTGCCAGGCTATTTTGAAAAATAATAAACAATATTAAAATCCCATCAAACAATCGTGAGAAGCGGTAGCGGCAGCAAATGTGTAAATTTTAATTTTTAATACAGTAAATATCGATAGATATACTCCATACATACAACAGCTCTTTTGGGGTCCTCCATAATTTTTAAAAGTGGGAAGGAGTCTGAGAGAAAAAAGTTTAAGAAACACTGACTCAGAATATTATTGTTATTCCAAAATAATTCCAAACACATTTCATTGCAAGATGTCTCTTTCCACAGGCTTTTTCTTTACTGGAAGCAGGATTTTAAGAGCGCAATGCAGATCATCTTAGTGCACACTACACACCATTCAAATTGTAAAGGTCCACTATTTTATCAATAAAATCTTTGTCAAAACATCACCATCATCATCTCCCCTAAATGGCATGTAGAAACAGCAGAGAAGATTTTGGTGACTAAATTGTTAACAGCGAAAGCAGTTACTTAGTCAGACCAATGAAATCCATAGGATCAGCATGCCTTTACAGAGTTATACTTCAATTTCAGGATCTGTTAGAGAACAGTCCTCTGTCTGAACATGCCCTTCGCTGGGAAGACTATTTGGGCCAAACAAACTGAAATAAAGATTTTATTTTATAAATAATACAGATGCCACGAAATCAGCACTTGAACAGGTTGAATAGACATGCACACTTCCCCAGGCCAAAGCCTTCCTTTTATAATGAAATATTTTTCTGTTTAAATTATTTCAAATTTTTGGTTAACTCATATAAATTAATGTAGGCAGATGTTTATGTGCGCTTATGGTCTATTTCGTCCCTTCTTTTGCAGTTTGCAGGTGTTTGCCATTCTAAATCCCATGTAATAAATGAAATTGTGGGAAAGAAATAGCACAGGACACCACTTCTGAAGAATCTGACCCAATTAAGGCCACACAATAGATGAGGGCTATGCAACAAACAGCAACATCTCCAATTAACACATGTTCTCATATTCATTCTGGACAGCCAGATCTGGGGCCTGAGATATTTCAGCAATTATTCCAGGCAGTCAATAGTGTAACAGGAAAACAAAAAAAGCTATTCTGTATGATGTGGGTTTAAGCAACCACAAATTTCATTCTCATCTCATCTCTCATTAATGGGGATATTGTATTACAGATAAATGGAATGCCAAACAAGCAAAGGAAATCAAAGATACCACTTTGTTTAGAATGCATACTTAACCATATCAACACACAACATCTCTATCCAAGATGGTTTAGATTAACTCTTAAGAAATGTTTTACTTTCATTTATTATTTCATAATTCAGCCAACTACTTTAGTAACTATAAAATACATTAGGATTCTTCATTGCCACTGGCTTCTTTCATTTGCCACTGCTTATAATCCATATAAAAGACTTATACTGGGTTTTATGATGAAATCAGTGTAATTGCTAACTCATTGTAAGTCAGAAGTCTTGTGATTTCCATGGAACACAATCACTGACACCAAATAAATGAGGAAAACATTGTGAAATATTTTGTGAAAACCCAACATGACTGGACTTGAAAATATGTGTATTCTGATACTAGTAAAAAAAAAAATCTAAATCAGCAAATTACTGTCAGCATCTATGACTAACCCAGTGAATGCCACAGCTTTATATATCTTTGCTATTCACCTGGAACTCTGCTGAAATGCTTTTTATTGAACATATTCTATTATTTATATTGTTTCTGACCATCTTGTAAGATTGGGCAGGGTGACATGTTTGTAAGATTGGGCAGGGTGACCATCTTGTAAGATTGGGCAGGGTGACATCAACAAAACGGTGCCAACAGTATCACTGCTACTGCCCTCAAGAATACCAATAACACACACGCGCATATCCTCCCCACCCTCCCCCCACCCCCGATCCATTGGCCCCAAGCCTGTAGATTTTCAGGAAACCTTTAAAACCTTGATTTTCCAACAGGCCTAGAGCCAGGGTGATTTGTGAGTCTGCATGAATGTTTGCTATTTTAATGTTTGTATTCCACAATGTGCTGCTAGTATTATTGGTTCCTCTTTTGCTTTGTGTTCATTTGTTTTTGAACCTATTGTGCACTGCTGGACACTTCAAATTAAATGATATAATTTAATAACATAAATTTATAACATAAATAATTTATAACATAAATAAGTGTTAATATACAAGTTGTTTTTTCCATGTTGCTCACAGATAGCACACCTAACACAAATGCTTGGTTTGTTGCAGCCATACCACAAGGAATATTTTATTATTAAACTTCTGCATTGCTGATTTCAACAAAGTGACTCAAGGTGGTTTACAGCAACAGCATAAAACGTCCCTGATAACAAGACTTAAATACAGCATTAAAACATCACAATGAGTTTAAAAATTAAATATTTAACAACAGCCAACAAAATCCCTGCTAGGATCCATACACTAGGGAAAAGCCCTACAGAAGAGCTCCATCTTTAGTTACTTATTGAATGTTGGGGGGTGTAGGGGAATGTGAACCTGATGTCAAGGGGGAGGGTGTACTACTGTAGAGGGTCTGCATTGCAACAGAAAAGTTTAGCTGAATGGTAGTGAAAACTCTGGGGATATCTATATCTGTGTCGTTTTAATGAAACAAATCATTGGGTTTATTATTGTATGCACATTAGAGTTTGTTCTGACCATTACTTTAATATGATCACATATTAAATGTGCTTTAACATTTAAACTTAAAAAAAACAAACTATAGGTACTTTACAAAAGTCTTGAACACTGAAAGTGGATGTAAAAAAAATCAATTTATTACATGAGTGTTTCTACTTAAAACTGGAAAAGTTATTACGGCTATAAGAACTTGTCTTTCTTTATATACCTTCTGATGCTAGATAGCTTTATCATTAAAAAAGAAATAGGATTTTTTAATAAACTAAAACTGAAAACTGGCTATGAAATTACCTTAATTCAGATTTTGTTTGTAATCAGTTTGCAGGTCAGAAATGGTAAGAAATAATAAATGAGATGCATACAAATGTCATCCTAATAAAAAAAGAGTCTTAAGGTTGGTCATCCTTTTATTTATTTTTATTAAACATTGTTTTATATTTGTTTTATATTGATTGATTGTATTCAGTTATAACATTCTGTTGGATGCTCATATAATCTTGGATACAGCCCAATTAAATTTAGAATTTAACACAAATGTTTAGTGTTACTATATTAAGAATAATTAATAAAATGTTTGAAGTTTTTAAATTTATTCTGTTCCTCCAAAATAAATTTCAACATGTGTGTTTTTATATATTTATAAAGAGTTGAATTGGAATTTTGCAGAGTATGGAATCCATACATCATATTTAATCTACTGATAAATATGCATATAATCATACAGGAAATATGGCTATAACCTTTCATCTGAGCATAACATAGTTTTCCAAATGTTTTGCAGTTTAATGACTTTGTAGAAGCTAGACTTACAAAAACTCTGTTCTTGAGCTTTCCATTTTGGATACTTCAACTAGAAACAGACAAACAGTACTCTTACACTGAGATATCAACTTAACTAAAAACATGTTATTGATGATGAAATCTCCATTCAGGCTGACTGACTTTACAAGAAAGTTCAGAACTGTGTGCATTCTATAAGTTCAAATGAGTTATTACCAACTGAAATAAAAATAACACTGAACTAGAAGTGTTAAGTGTTAAGTGTTTAGCAAGTCCCCTTGAAGCCACTGCTCAGAAAAAAAAAATTCTCACTACAGTTTTGTAATGAGATGATAAACATTTTTTTTTATTTTTTATTTTTAGGTAACATTAAGCTGTAATGATATTCTCAGAAATGTAGTTAGGGCTGGACCTTATGGCTAAAGTCCATGGCCTTGCAATTCAGGGTCCTGCAAGTACTATTGAACTAATGAGTACAGCAGCAAACAGCCCTGATAACCACATAATTTCTACATTATCCTTTTCTGCAATAGAATGGTGTCTATTCTCAAATAAACATGTTTAGGATCTGGGCAGTAGAAACACATTCCATTTGATTCATATAGTTATGATGATGGCTATAACTGAAATCAGCTTAAAACACAAAATGCACATATTTGGAGTATTTTTGTTCAAATGAAATTTGTCAAACAGTTGGTTTTGCTTTAACATCAGTTGTACATGAAAAATGTAAGCATATAGGTGGAAGAAATATTAGTTATACTTCATAATTCATGTAAAACACATGGCTGTCTAAACTCAGGTTTCCATAAAACATTAATTTAGGCAGGTTCTAAAATTACTTAGCTCCATCACTGGACATTCTGATGTTGCAAAACCTACATAAAGAATACTTTGTCAATGTTAGATTAATTTTAGATTATCAAGACTCTTGTTTGATCTTTATAAACATTGCAAACTAGCAGATGTATAAAAGAGGGGAAGACAGAAACTCAACAGCTTCTTTTTTTCCCCTGTTTTTTATCTTCTTTTTTGCCCTTTTTACATTTTGTTAGTATTTCAAAATTGCTAAATTTGTTTTCATTTATTTTTCTTTTATTAACAGGTACAAAAACACATACATCCATATTCATATTGAATATACATACACAAGCACATATATACATTATGCAACAACACAATGGAGATTCTAATAACAAGTAATTTACCTTAAGACTGAAACTATTATTGTAAAACGAATACTTTGATGCAGGCTCTTCCTTCATTTTTTTCATTTCATTATATATTAATTATATTTAATTTTAAAGAAAAGTGAAATAATTTGAAACTGTAATTATTATTAATAGAATATCCACTTTTTCTTTTCTTCTCTCTTATCTACATTTAATACTCTAAGGTACCTACATAATAGAATATTAAGAATCTGAGCATATTATATAAATATCACTGTATCGAAATAACATATTGTATTAAAACTGTGAAGATGGAGCTAATGGAGCAACGTATGGAGCAAGTCATTTGTGTTTAAGCTAACTCTAATTCAGTCCCCCCCCCCTTTTTATCTTAACATAAACAGAGCGTGGACAAAAACATAGAAGCATACCTTTCTATCTTTAGATATTGAGCCTAAGGAAGAGTTTTTCATGTTTTGAAAGTTTGCATACTACAATTTAAACACCTATGCGGGTTAAATAATAAATATCTCATTTGCACAATGTTCTCTGGGCTCACCATAAATGGCAACAAAGGGGAGGCAGGGTGTTTTGGTAACTTCATCACCAGTATGCCAGATAATACCAAGCAATCAATTGATGCCTTGGGATTTCCCCCTCCCCTTTTTATTGTTCTTGAAAACCAGTACATAGCTTTATTTATTAAACAAAACAGATCAGAAGCTACGTGATCTTAAATGTGACCTCAAAATATGCTCAACTGCCATTTTTTTAAATAAGAACATACAATTTATGGAAGCAATTTTTGTCAAAATTAAAACCCTAGTTTAATTAAAAACATTATCTAATGTGTTCTTACTGTTTGTTTGAACTTGGCCAATTATGGTTTAATCAATAAACTATGGCTTATCTTAATGTGTCATGGAGAATATCTTTGTGGTCACCAGGAGTCAAAAACAATTTGATGGCACATAATCATCACTATCTTAATGTGTAAACTGGATCTGTCCCCCCCCCCACACACACAATAGGCAATTATAGGATTAACACTGCCATTCTCTATATGCCTGATTTATTTGCATCCTGGATTACTTCTTGCTAAGCAGTGTGTTGTGTAACTCCATTCTCTTACCTCAGAACTATAAACTGGAAATACCGTTCCGGGACATTCTTGGTGTGATGCATCATGTTATTTACTACTAAGTTAGAGTCCCTTCTCCTAGGGCCCTCAGTGATTGCAGTAATTTCACAACCTCCTGTGTCCTCATGGCAAAAGCAATCTTTGCATTGCATTGCGGGTCTACATTCTGCCCTGCCTCCATCAGTGTGGACATTATTTCTGCTTAGAACAGATGGGATGCATTGAAGCAGCCCACAGTAAATAACCATTGAAAGATTAAAGCCAGATAAATATGGCTCAGTGTAACAGCTTTTTAAATGTATCCCACAGTTAATGGTATGTTAGAGATTGAAGCCAGTAAATGTGTACAAATGTAATAGCTTTCTTCTGTTTTGATGTTTGAATATGACACACCCAGGTTCATAGTCCAGTGAACTAAAAGCCATTGCTTTTTAGTTCACATACAAAAAGCAGGGCGGGGGTTAGCCCTTACCTTTCAGACAGGGGAAGTGGCTTTGTTTTGCTCTCTTGCTTAACATTTTTGGTACACACACACACACATACACACACAGCTGCTGTGCTCTATAATGGAGGGGGTGGCAGTGACCTTCTTGGCTACACGGTCAAGAAGAACAGCAGTATATACCCCCCCCCCCGAAAATGAGATTGGAGGCTAAGATCAAGACAACTCGGAAAGAAGTCAGTCAGCTGGTGGAACTACAGAAGGGTATGGAGATTAACAATAAGACTTGGCTACAGAAAAAATACATGGGCCTGACTCCATCTGAAGCCCTAGAGACTGCTAAACAAAG